AATCTTCAAGACTTGTTAGACATATTCTTCTCCAATTCCTCATCCTCAAAATGTAAAGCTTCTTTTGAATGCAATGCGGAACATGCCTCGATACAAGGAAATCAATAATGACTACTTCGAAAAATCACCAATCTCTTGGAAAAATAGAAATTAAGGAATGGTTTTTAGATCTCTTGTTGAAGATAAGGATTAGCTTGGCTAACTCAACTATTATATGATTTTGGCTTCAATCCACCATCTCTAACACTTATGTTTCCATGACAATTAACTCTCATTTCACATCGCCAACAATCTTACATTCCACAAAAAGACTGAACATATTAATATGATTGCCACTTAATCCATAATAAAGTTAGCAATTACTCCATCAAACTCATGCACATTCAATTCGAACACAGCTTGCTGACATATTTGCTAAGCCGCTACTCACAAATACCCTACCCAAACTTCTATACAAGATTATAAAAAAAATGTTTATTATTATTCTTAAGGGAGAGCATTAGAGTCAATTACATATTATATAATGTACATTAATATTATTTTTTTGTTATTGGGTTCCTCTTCAGTGCCTTGGGTGAAAAGTCGATAACCAATACTTTATTTCTACCACTTCTTATAGCTCGTTCTTAATCCATATATAATACGGTGTACCCATTGTATTACAACATACAAATCAATAAAATAAAACATTTCTTTCTCCTCTCCTATATCGGCAAATGATTACGTCCGGTGTCTGGATTCGTCCGGACACCAATTTAGACGCACCACGTCACCAAAATGCATCGGGACCCAGTGTATTCGGATGACGTGGCGTGTCTGGATTGGGTGTCCGGACGTCCGGTAACCGGACGTAATAATTCGCCCTCCCACATCAAAGACTTAGATAACAAAAACGACCCCAGCCATGTGCAAGCTCTAACTGCGAATCTTTCTTCGAGTAGAATGGGCCACATGTGATGCTCAGTGGTGAAGAATGATGCCGAGACAAATGTTAAGTGTCTATAAGACCATATATATTTACACTTTATTTCACATATTTTCTATTTGTTTCATCTATTTAATTTATACGAAAAGGACTCTAATTAACAACTTGTTAATTAGATGGCTGGCTGTTAATCGTCCCTTCCAGGCATCAATCTCTCCAAGATCTGGATGCCCTGACACCTAAACTTTATATGGAACTATCAATGCCTTATATTGGATCAATTCACAGGCATCTATAATAGCAAGGCAAATGCAATAAGAATGAATTAGTTGATCCTTCAAAGACACACACATATCCAATTTGATGTCTTAACCTCCTCTTGTAAACAATCATCACTCTAATTAGCTGAAATAAAAGCAGGTGCGTAGAAATAGAGGTATAAGACAAACTGCTAAATATGGCTCACCTACATTTATTGGTTGGGAGCTTTTATTATGAATCAAGAGTATGGGTGTAAGTGAGCCAAGCCGGCTCGTAAGCTCGTGAGCCGGCTCGAATAAATATTAATATTTTTAAAATAATTAAAGAAAAACTTTCGAATGGCATCGATAGATGGTTGCTTTCCGTGAAACCAACCAACCAAAGCAATTTTGAAAGGTGCATCAAGCGATGAAACTTCTTCCTCCGAAATCAACAACGCCGGCAAACCCCAGTGAGAAGAAATACACAAATCAGGAAAAGAAACCGAAGACTAAGAAGCCCCAGATAAGACCTTAAACAAAAGAGCCGGAGAAGCTCCATTCAAAAATCATGGGTCACGAAGTCGAGCATTCGCCATTCAGTCAAAAAGAAAAAAGAAAACCAAAGCAGACAAAAATCAAGAAAACTAGAGAGAAGCTTCCCTGAGGCAAAAATTGCGGCTAGATCCATTCTCATAGCGAAAGGCAAAGCAAAGAAAAAATCCTAGTAAAGCGAGCATCGGGAGAATTTTTACAAGTTGTTGCTGTTTTTTCAAAAAGTATTGTGGTTGACAACTATTTTGTTATTATAATCAGATATGTTGAAGTGTAGTAATTATTAGAACGTAACTATTCAACTTTTTTTTATTATTATTATAGCTACTATATATAAATGTTATTTTTTCAGTAACGTACAGTTCTACAATAATATTTTAAAAAACTATATTATCAGCCCAAACAAGCTCTAAAATTGCTTTGCTTTTTAAGTAAATTGTGAATCATAAGCTGTGCTAAAATTTATAAGTGATTTATCCTCTTAACCGTAATACATTTCAAGTATGAATATACAAGACTCCAACACTTTAAACCTTCTTGCATTTCGAGCAATTGCGGGGCCTATCAAAATTTATAAAAATAGAACTTATATTGAGTCAAATTGGTTCGAATATTTGAAAGTTTCACAAATTAGAAGAAAAATAAAAATCATTCATCAACTAAAGTACTAAACTCTTCTAAAAATGATAAAAAAGATCTTTATTGGTATACAATTTAATTTCTAAAAATTATGGTATATCACCTAATCTTTAAATTTGTACTAATATAACTCTTTAAAGTGAACTTTAATTATATATTAATAAGTTCATTTTTTTACTCAAAATTCTTATAAATAATTTCTCTTATATTTTATTATTAGGAATAAACGTTGTATCTTTTGTTGTTTGATTGCCTTTAACTAAATAAGGAATCAGAGTACTGCTCATAGAGGGCACGCTAGTGCTTCGAGTCAGATCTAGAGTAGGACATGGAGCTACAAATCTGCTCAAAACTCTATTCAAAAGAAAATTTTTTATTTTAAAAAATAAATAAATAAATAATTTTTTTTCTTTTCTTTTTTTATGATAAAACATATTAGCTGACTACTTTGAACCATAATGTCTAAAATTATACTCTACAAGATAAAGAATATGTTTGAGACGGCAATAATTTTTGTAAATGTGATTTTAAAGATGCTTTTAAAGATTATAATTTTTTTACAAGCTACTATAAAACATCTAATGAGAAGCAGGAAGGGGTTGAATTTTTTTTTTGGTTGGAATATTTGGATCAACTAAGATAAATTCATACACACATTATATATATGCAATGACTCAAACACAAAATCTTCTAATTGGTAGTGAAAACTTCTAACCACAAGATATAATTTCATAATAAGGAGAATTGTTCATTATTCATTCATAAATATTTAAAGCCTTTTAATAACTCATTTAACTATTTATTAAATTTAATACAACTCAAAACGTCCATTATAACATTTGACATATTAATCAATAATATATTACTATTACCTATGCAGATCGGCTAGTAGAATCATCAAATATTTTGCTTTGCTCGGAATTGGCGCGGAGGAAGGGAGCCAAAGAGGAAGAGAGCTCTATTTATTAAATTTAATACAACTCAAAACGTCCATTATAACATTTGACATATTAATCAATAATATATTACTATTACCTATGCAGATCGGCTAGTAGAATCATCAAATATTTTGCTTTGCTCGGAATTGGCGCGGAGGAAGGGAGCCAAAGAGGAAGAGAGCTCTTTTGCCTTCAAACTCCTCTTCGACCACTTTCACCCCAGCAACCTGATCGGCGCCAGAGTTTTGCCCGACTGTTGATTGACGTTGTACAGCTTCTCGATAGCCAATTGACGCCGGATTTCTACCCGGCCACTAACGTACGCCGGACTTCGCCCTGTCGCCTGTTTTTTACCTGACGCCGGACTTTCACCCTTCGTCGGATTTCTACACGACGTTGGACTTTCGTCAGTTGCTGGACTTCTACCAAACGCTGGACTCTATCCTACGCCGGACTTCTGTCGGTCGTTGGCCTTTCATCTGACTTTTACCCGATGTCGGACTTTCTCCCGACATTGGACTCCTACCCAATGTCGGACTTTTAACCGTCGTTGGCCTTTTGTCGGACTTCTAACTAACGCTAAACTTTCGCTCGTCGTCAGATTTCCGCCCATCGCAGACTTTTGCCCGACACCGGACTTCCGCCCATCCCCAAATTTCGGAATTATGTCAGACCACCAATTAACGCCAGACTTTTAGCTACTTAATTGACTACCAATTAACGTTAGACTTCTAGCTGACTGCCAACTAATCTCAATTTTTCTGCCTTGCCACCAACTAAAGCTAGAATTTTGCACTGCCTCCAATTGGTGCCGGACCTTCGTTGCCCTCTGACAACGATCTTTCTGACAACTGTCGTCCTTCGACTACGGTCCTTCCGACCTCCGTCACCAAAAAATGGACCTTCTAATCTTCGTCGCCCGTCGACTACGATCCTTTCAACATCCATCGCCAGACAACAGTCTTTCCAACCTCCATCCCCACCAACTATGGTGCTTCCAACCAAACGAACACGTCAATAATATTTTTTTGTATTCCCACCATGTATTATACTCCATATGATGTACATCAAGCCAAGACCTTCCCCCCAAGGAAGGACCTCATTGTAATTGACTGCAAATAATAGTAGATTCATTCAAATTGGGTCTGTCCTCATGATTTTTCCTTATTTTCAGAATTTTTCACGTAAAAATCTTGGTGTCTCTTATTAATACATTGAATATATAATCCGCCTGCGCTGCTCGACTCCAGGACGCAACAATATCTTACTTTTTATCAAATAAAAATATATATTTGAAATATTTATTTTATAGTTAATTAAATAATTCTGAATATTTTAAATATATTATGTTTATATACTTCAATTGCACCAATATTATAAGTAATTAAGAATGGAAAGATGCCGTGGCCTTTGGTAAAATCCAACACTATTAAATTAACTATAATGATTAATTTAAAATAAAAAAGTTAAAGACAATTCCTGCCATGTCAGCCCCACGAACCGCACACACCCATCAAAAGATACCATAATTAGAGGTAATAAATGGTCACTTTCCCCCAATATTTAACAACTAATAATACTCTTTTACGACCGTAATTAATCCAAACTTTCAAGGGCAAACAGTAGGCCTTCTCAAGCACTAGTTCGAGCTACGCACCCCACAATCCTTTAATAAAGCCGACAGGTCTAGTGGCAGCCCCCCGAAAATCCCGCCAACTATTCGGTTAGTTTCGCTGCATCAGAAGGGAAACGCGATTGGGAACACAGGGAAACGCTTGGGGATCTCTCCGAGGGAATTTAGGAGGTAGCGATGGCGGATTTGGACCAGTGGCAGATACTAGAAGCGGAGTGAGCGAGCGAGCGAGATAGAGTGAGAGAGAGAGAGCGGAGAGAAGGAGCTGCTTTGAAACTATTCTCGTCTACGAGTTTGTGAAAGTTTTTCATGGAATGATTCTGTCCGCGTTAATGGAGCCAGCGGCTTTATAGTTTGTAAAGGAAGCTTGTCTGCCTTTTTCTCATCGGGTTCTCTCGACTACGGTGAAGAGTTCGGTTGCTTCTGGTTTTCTTGATATGGGCGGTGGCCGGAGGCGAACAACAGCGGTGGACTGCGCGAGTGTGGAGCCGGAAGGGAAGAAGAGGGGGCCAGGGCTTAGGACGATGCAGGCTGGGAGGGCATCTTGCCGGGGAAGCTAGGCCGCACGGAGCTGCGAAAGGACGGTTCACTTTTGATCGCATTAAGCTCGTTTCTTGTCTTTTCCATCTCGAGCTAGGGTTCTCCTCGGGTGTTTTTTCGAGCAGATAAGATGGGTTTTGAGCTGAGAGAGACGCTGAGGCGCCTCTGCGTCGAGATTGGGTGGTCTTATGCGGTTTTCTGGAGGGCGATCGGATCGCCAAACCCCAAGTAAGGCTTAAGTTTTTAGTGTTTTTCATGGAATTTTTCTGATTTAGCTTATTTTCTGGTCTGGTTTGATGTTGGGGGGCCTCTTGGAGCTAGGGTTTTGTCGGATGGTCGTACCCTTTTTTTGTTATTGTCGGCTCTTGGCTTCTTGTGATGGTTTTTGTTGGAGGATGATGGAATCTTCTTTTGGACATTTGCTTTGAGCTGTTAAGGATTTGGGCTTTCTCTGCCATAGTGCCTTTTTTTTTAAGGTCCTGGTTGGCTATAAGTAGGATTTGATAAATGCTGAAAATTCTTATTTAGTAAATCTTGAGTGTTGTAACATTCGAAAACTGTTTGATATGATTATTGTTAAATTTTGATGAACTGTTTGCCTATTTGCTTCAAGCTTCAAGATTTGTGTGCGTGAGAGAAATTTTTAAATCAATTTAATCATGTGAGTATTAAACGAATTCTGGATTTAACCAATAATGGCACAGAAATGTGATTTATCAAAATGGTAAGATATAGGGCCTATTTGGTGTCCTATTTTAGGCAGGATTTAAGCAATGTTTATTTTAAATCATGCCCAGCAGAATTTTTTTGACTTTAAATCATACTTTTCAGATAAATCCCATTTTTACCTCTTATGAGGGAGAGAGTTATGGAGCATAGGTTGCAGCGTGATACTAACGTTTCTCAAAATCAAATCGGATTCATGCTGGGTAGGTCTACTATGGAAGCTATGCATTTATTGAGAGGTTTGATGGAGACATATAGAAAGAATAGGGAGGATCTACGTATGATTTTTATTGATTTAGAGAAAACATATGATAAAGTTCCAAGAGATGTGAGAGTTCTAGAAAAGAAAGGGGCTAATAATGCTTATATTCAATTTATTAAGGATATGTATGCAAAAGCTGTTACTTGTATCCATACACAAGGTGGTTTGTCCAAGTATTTTCCTAATTCAATTGGATTACATCAAGGATCAGCCTTAAGTCCATATCTTTTTGCTTTAGTTATAAATGTTCTTATTAGACATTTGCAAGAGGTTGTACCTTGGTGTATGCTTTTTGCCGATGATATTCTTTTAGATTTTTCAATTAGAATTAGAAGAAATAAGGACAGGTTTTCATGAATCAGGCTAGGAATTGTTTCTTCTTATTGATAAGACTAGGGAGGGAGTTGAAGGTAAACTTGAATTATGGAGATCAACCTTAAAGTCTAAAGGCTTTCATTTGAGTAGATCTAAAACTGAATATATGTAATGTAATTTTAGTAATAATAGTTTTAGTGGGGGGATTGTGACTTTTGGTGATCAAGTCATTAATAAGAGTACATGTTTTAGATATATTGGGTCTATTATTTAGAGTGATGGTGAAATAGATGGGAATATTATTAGTAGAATTTAAGTTGGATGGTTGAAGTGGAGGAATGCATCAGGCTTGTTGTGTGATAGAAAAATCCCCCTCAAACTTAAGGGAAAATTCCATAAGATAGTGGTTAGACCTGCATTGCTTTATGGTGCAGAATGTTGGCCATTAGAAGAGAAGCATAATATTAAGTTAAGTGTTGCAGAGATGAGGATGCTCAGGTGGATGAGTGGCTTTACTCTTAGAGACATGATATGAAATGAGCATATACCTGAAAATGCTGGAGTAGCTCCAACGGAAGATAAGATTAGAGAGAGTCGCCTTAGATCGTTTGGTTACATAAAATGACGGCCTTTCGATGACCCGGTCAGGAAAGTAGATGTATTAGATTTGACTTATGTTAAGAAGGATAGAGGTAGATCTAAAAGACTTGGTTAGAAAGTATTTGAAATGACCTTTCTTTATTAGATTTAAATGAGAATTTAACTTTAACAGGGCGCAATGGAGAAAAAGGATTCATGTAGCCTACCCCACATAGTGGTATAAAGGCTTGATGTTGTTGTTGTATTAATTAAATTTAGGATTTGTTAAATTCTATGTTGTAAGAATAATATCAATAAAAAAACGGACAACAAACCCAAAGAAAAAGACATAGATTCAAGTAGAAAATGCTAGATAAGTAGAAAATGCTAGATAGGTAAAAAAACCATGGGCAGAGGAGAAGAGTTCACTTTGTCGAAAACTAGTACTTGAGGAGAGTGGCAGCTCACATAACATATTTATAAAACCCTAATTACATGTATTAAAAGATATGTGAAAAAATAATGAAGCTACATAACATCGGGTCTTCCCCTGCAACTCCATTGGGATTAGTGGTGGGCTTTGGGATTGGGCCTATAATCCCAAACCCTTTGTCACCATAAAAAATCCCAAAAAAAATTCTCATAATTAAAGTTGCACTGCATATGTCACTTGGCGAGCGTTTTGGTCCAAGCCCAATAGAATTTTGATCACAAACTCTTAACGCGCAATTCGTAGATTTAACAGATATAAGGATATCCAAACAGTTATTAGGATTGAGCAAAATTTAACAGTTTCCATGCCAAATACTTCTCAATTTTTAATCCTCTTAAAGATTTACTTAATCTAACTTGTAGCCAAACAGCTCATTAACGTCCCCAACAATTCATTTGGATGTATTTTAGCTAAATATTTCTAAAATGCAGACCAAAGTAGGAGACTAAACTGCCCCTATGTCTGATGGTTACTTTCCTATTTGTATCTACCTTTTTTAGTCACGAGCTATTATTTTATTTGTTTTTAAAAGATGGTTTTTCTAAATGAGCAGTTTCCGGTCTATTTTGTATTTGCTTTGATTCCTTTCTATTTTTATGTGAAGCATGGTTAGCAATGTCTTCCTTGTGAACACTTGGGTCTAACTTGAGTCTTTGCATACCCTTTATCTATGTTGGGGTTTGTGCAGGCATTTGGTTTGGGAAGACGGACATTGGCATGGGAAAGCACAACTTTCAGGGTGTGGTGATTCGAGTTCTCAAGATAATTTGTTGGCTGAATTTCGAAGTCATGGAGAGGGCAGCATTGATGAGTTGGTTAGCAATTCCATGGTACCCCAGTTCCATGTTATAGGAGATGGGTGTGTAAAGTTTTCTTCTTACCTCTTCAATTGGAAAAGTTCGAAGCTGCTGCCGTATTGTTTTACTTTGTTACTCATTTATGGAATTCCTAAAGATGAATTACCCTCTTGTTATAGTTTTTAATTTGTTATTTTGCGACTGTCCTTGATGTAGTGTTATGTTTCAGAATAGTTGGACGGGCTGCTTTAATAGGAAATCATCAGTGGATTCTTAGAGATGTTGCTAACGACAGCGGACCCATATTATCGGTATGGCTTTGCTTTATCCAAGTTCTGTATAGGTATCGGTTTGAGTTTCTTCTTTTCGTAGAAGGATCGTTTTAAAATGTTATTGCAAAGTTGACAAATGCTGACATTCTTTTGAAATAATTGGTTTATCTTCATTGTCACACATGTTGTTTACTATTTTCAACTCTTTTTTTGACTTGTTTTTTTGGTTACCTTATGCATCTGATCTATTTGATAATATCTTGAGTGATATGGTGCCACTTGGCTCTATATCTATTGTATTATTTGTTCTTTTTGAGGCTTTGTTTTGTTATTCATGAATTTGTAGGTTTAGTATGCAATAAGTTTATTTAAAACTATATGATCAATTGTTATGCGGAACCTCCATAACAAATTAGCCTATTATTAAATGAAAATTTTTAATATATATATATTTGAATTTTGCAGCATTTGGCAGAGTTGAAAAATCAATTTGTGTCAGGGATTCAGGTGTGAACGTTAACTTATATATTGCTTTTCTTCAATTTTAATTATCCTTTTGGTTGATTCATGTTGACAATTTTTTTTTCTTGGCAGACAATTGTTATTGTACCTGTGATGCCATATGGTGTTGTACAATTTGGTTCTACGATGAGGGTATGCGTTTAGATATATTCTATATCACCCATAATGGGCATATAAAACAGTCATCGTTCCTGATTTTTGTCTTATTGCTGCTAAATTTTCATTTAACAATATTGCTAAAATAAACGCATGCTAGGATTGGTTCTTGAAACACTTGTTACATTCTTACATGTTATCACTTTCCTAAGATTTAAATCTGTCATATCACTTAATTTATACCTTAGGTCATATGTAGGTTGATCAATTCAACAATCCTTTTCTTTAACCAATTTTTATGGTTATTGTAAATATTTTATGCCAGGTTGCTAATTGTTCGAGTCTTGTTTAGTTGTTAAAGTCTAAATGCTTAAGTTATCAGCTTTCTTTAGAATTTTCCTCTTATTTGGAATTTAAAACTCCTGCAACTTGTTTGAATGCATGGAAATATAGGAAGGTCAAGTTGATACAGTTTCAGAACATGAAACTTAATGCGTTGTTTTAGTTGAATGCTATGCCACCTTTGGTACGATTCCTATGCAGCTTCATTAGTGCCAAATTGAATTGCCTACATTTTTGTTTAACTAGTTACTATTGGTATGATATGGCCAATAGTGTTGATCTAGTCTGGATCAAGAATGACAGTAAAGATACATATTCGAACACACTAGTTTAAATTGTTTAAGAAGTAACATGAAACTTATTGTGTTATTTTAGTTGAAAACTAAGCCTCTTAGGGGTAGCAGTCATGAAGTGTAGCTTAATTAGTGCCAAATTGATTTGCACGTTTTTTTTGTTGTACTAATTAGTATGGGTGCACTGTTGGTTGGTAATCGAGCAAGCATTGTAGCCTTTTTTACATGAAACTAATAAAAAACGTTAAGAAGAATTATTTGTTTACAAACTTCTCTCTTCGATCATTTTTTCCAATTTGAAACCAACATGCATAAGACATTAAAACTCACGTTGGCCTAGTTTGTTGCAACAAAGGGTTGAAAGGATGTGATATATGTCACTTGTCTCATCCATTAAAAATTAAAATATAAGGCCTAAGTCTTATCATAATATATACAAATTATAGGTTGTCAATTATTATTTGCTTTAGCTTGTCCTATGATGACATGTGTTAAGAAGTTATAATTAGTTGCCATCTACTTTAACTCATGAATCTAAACTTTCTTTGGCCTCATTAAAAAGATTCAAAAAATACAAATTGTGTGGAGCATACTATGTGGTTGAGCAATGCACCCCAATTATAATATTCTTTTTTTTTGACTAATTTAAAAAATTGAATCACTTAATTTAATTAATTGTAGACCCAAAATGCTACCATTATTGAAAAGAAAAATGAGATGGAGAATAGATGTTGGTTTTGGCATGATGCCTTCATGCATGTATACCATCATCTGCCTAATTTTTAGTAGAAAAAATACATAAGCATAATCATATGAGAAATAATGTGTACCATCGTGTTATCCCTAACAACGCAGGGAGCCAGCCAGCCGGCCCAAATTGGTCAAACCTAGCAAAATTGTTGGGCGGGAACCAAAGTTGTAGCATGGAGGGGGTTTCAGCCCTCCTTGTGGGGCCCAAGAAAGTTAATATTCACTATGTAAGGGAGGGAAGGAGATGGGTAGAGGGTATGAGGAGAGGCATGAGGGGATTGTGTATGAGCGAATGTGTGCTAAATTTGAAAGGAGGGGCTGATTATGATCGAAGGGATGCTAAATTTGAAAGGAAGGGAGATTTTGACAAAAGGTTTTTTTAGACTGTAATGAAGTGGGATTTTATGGAAGGGTTCAAATTAGAGATTCGAGCGATAATTAGTGTGATGAGGCCTCGTGATTTGGGAGAGGTTATGGAGCTAGACTATTTAGTGGAGGATCAAAGACATCTAAAGAGGGGGCTAGAGGTAGCAGTTCAGGAGGTTCGTACAAAATGATCACCACTTTTTTGGCACCTAAGGGGGCGACACCAGGTATTCTTAGGGAGCCTCCAAATGAGAAGACTGTAGGAGGAAGACTTGGGGGGTTGGGGGGGGGGGACTTTAAGAAGCCTACTGAGACGGAATTATAGGAAAAGAGGGTGAAGGGATTGTTTTTCAGAGGGATGAGAGGTAAACACTGGGGCACATGTGTAAGGAACAAACTCTTCAGGTTTTCACCGTTTGTGATGACGAGATAACTAAGGAGGGAGGTGGGAGTGAGGTAGTGGTGGAGGAAGAAGAGTCGCATTTAGACATGTCGGAGGTCTTCTTGAACTTAGTGGTGGGATTCACTTCAAATCACACCAGAAAAGTGAGAGGACAAATAGTAGATAGGGAGATAGTGGTGCTGATAGATAGTATGACTACCCACAATTTCATCTCCAACCAGGTTGTGTTCCTTTTGGGGGTGAAGCGGGTGGACATAGGATGTTATGGGGTGATGATGGGCACATGGAAGGTGGAGACAGACAGAGTAGTGTGTAAGGGGGTGATTCTAACCATACAGGGGGTCCATGTGAGGGAGAACTTCCATTGGAGTTAGGGAGTACCGATGTCATACTGAGGATGAAATGAATAGATCTTGGGAGACACCAAGGTTAATTGGGGAGAACTGGTGATGGAAATGATGGAGGGAAGGAGGGTGTTGATCAGAGGAGATGCGGGGTTATCCAAAGCCATGATCTCTCTCAAAATCATGGTGAGGACCATACAGGTGTGGGGGGAGATTTTTGGTGGAGTTGTAGAGCTTGGAGGGGATCAGGTTGGAGGAGGGGGAGACTTCCCTCTTTCAGTACAACCGTATATACAATAGTTCAGTGTGGTATTTCAGCCACCTCAGAATTTTCCACCACTGAGGAAGCAGGAGCATGCCATCATCTTGAGGGAGGGGGTGTCACTGATTAGTATCAGACCTTACCGATACTCTTAGATCCAGAAGGATGGAATCGAGAAATTGATTCGGGAGATGTTGGAAGCAAGAATTATCAGGCCAAGCATGAGTCCTTTCTTAGCCCAATTTTACTGGTAAAAAGAATGATGAGAGTTGGAGATTCCGTGTCGATTACTATGCCTTGAATAAGGAGATTGATGGATTAATTTATATATATTCTTTAAGATAAAGAATTTTATTTGATAGGTAGAAGTGGAAGTGGAAGAATTTCATTTTAATTCCAGTAATTTAGAAGTGACAGTTAATTAATATAGCATCACAAGTGTGGCAATTAATTAATGCAGCTTCATGATAATAAATATAATATATTTTACATTAATAAAAACTTAATATACTTATATAATTGTTAATAAATCATAATAATTGAAATGAAAGGCTAGAATTTTTTATTTGAGTAAATAAAATGAAAGGCTAAGATTCTGTTTGGGAAGAAACTCAAACCCCTTTCATATTAGTTGTATAGATATGTTATAGATTGTTGTGGAGAGATGAGGAGTAAACATCACAATGATGAAACAAGCAAAAAAGTAAAAACAATGGAAAGTAAATGACACCAAGATTTAATGTGGAAATAACTAAAATAGGGAAAAAACTATGGAGCCACACCACACCAAGAAATTCACTATGAAAATTGGGAGAAATAAGTATAGATCTATCTTCTCTATCATTCTCACACTTGCCATAACTGAAAGTATAAGAGAAAGCCAAGTGAATAAAACTCATAGGGACGCAACCCTTTATAAAACAAGAAAGAAAACCATCAAGTACGTCTCACAGCATTGATGCACCGCACCCGCTAGTCTCTGTTTGACAATGCTGCATCGCTCATACACTCAATGCTATGTCGCTTAATCTCTGTCTTGACTTGTTGTGGCGCCATATCTCGATCGTTGCGTTGCTCTGCTCTTTGTCTTTAAGCGTTGGGGAGCTCAGGTACGCATCGCCGAGGCGCTCGAGTATGCCACACCGGTACGGAACGTCGGGGCGTTGTACCAGAAAAAATGTTTTTGGTGCTTGGTGCTTTGCACCAGAATCCAAGCTGGGGGTAAACCCCCTGCACCCCTCAATGTACACGACAATCTTTGACGAGGCAACATAATAACCAGATTAATCAACACAATCAGATTCCACACATAACATAGATGATGTTTGTTATCTTTCTCTCTCTCTCTCTCTCTCTATGTGAAAGTGCACCATTCATATCTTTGAGATATTTTTCCAATTGGATGGATGGATTTCTTTATTTTAGCTCCACAATAGGAAGCCTTCTATTTTTTCCTACACCAATATTCAAATTATTTGGAGTAGCATTCTTTGCACCCCTGGTGGATTGATGTAGCATAAATAAAGTTGTCTTGTCCTAATATGTTTGTTGAGTTATCATTGTTTTTCTTTTATTAGTTCGGTTTTAGTATTCTTTAATTATTATGGGCAATGAATAGTCATTTGTCATATTAGGATAAAGTTAAGTATTAAGTTTTATAATGTAGAATTTTTATTATAAATAAAGTTCTACATGTTATGTAATGGCTGTTATGTTTATTGAAATGAAAATGGTGTTTAGTGCAATTTTATTTATTTTATGCATTATTCCAAATTGTTGGGAACATGGTTGATATTGGTACTCTTGGAACTGGTAAAAATTTCATTTTTGTATTATAAGATAATCTGAAACTTAAAAATCAAAGCTAATTTTTGAAGTTGTTGATGCCTAGAACTAATAAACTAAGATTTCACAATATATTCATGTAACAAAACTTGTGTATGGGTGAGTCAAAGCTGATTTGGGCTCGGCTTGTGAGACGAGCTTAATGAGATAACGAGTTAAGCTTGAACCAAGTTCGACTCGATTAGGTCACAAAGCGGCTCGTTTTAAAAAATATATATAAAATATACTTTAAATACATTCATATTCATGAGTTTAAATAAAAAAAGTTGTTAAAAAATATTTTTAAAAATTATTTAACTCTTATAGGGGATTCATTATTAAGTTTCTTCTAATTTCACATTTTTTTTATCATTTTATCATAAGAATTGCTTGAATCAAAATCATTTTTTTTCTTTCATAATGAACTTGTTGAATTAAGCTCAAGCTTGAGCTCAATTAATTAATTAAGTTCAAGCTCAAGCCGGGGGTGATTGGTTTACACCCCAAATAGAGTCCACTTGGCTTATGAAATTAATGTGTTTAAGGCTTCATTTGGTAATGCATTTCGTCAGCGTTATTTATTATATAAGTGTTCTTATTTGTTGGGGCATAACAGTGAGTTAACTTGTACAGTATAACATACTGACATAATATGCCACTACCAAACAAAGGCTTAGTCTGGCTGATTCAAGTGATCTGTTTGTTTTTTCAGCACAATGAACTTGCTTAAAGTTTTGTAACTTTATGAATTCTTCCTGTTGTAGTAAATTTCTGTCAAAAGCTGGTAGCTGCAATTTTTTTTGGTTATTGCAGGTAATGGAGAATAATCTGTTTGTAAATAATGTAAGAGCAACTTTCATGAAGTTGCTATGTGAACCTGGATCTGATGCTGCCGAAAAGGCTTTGTGTCGAAGCAGTCTTCAACATGCATCCATGAGCTCTGCAGTTTCTGATTACCAATTCCGAGATGATTGCAGCAATACGGATAGATCCTTATCTTTAAGATGCAACCATCAGCTTTCTATATCTTCAGCTACAAAATCATTGAGCCAGACTTCATCTTCATTATCCTCTGGTTGTCATGAAATACTGTCAAAAATTGATTCGGAAAGGCTGTCTACCAAGAAAATTGTGAGTAGTTCATCACAGCCTGTTCCTGAGTTGTGCCAGCCTATGATTCATCCAGATGAAAACTATCACTTGCATCTCAATAACAGACTCGGAAAGGGACTGGTGGATTCTCAGGTAATATCCCATAGGGATATGATGTCTGCAGCAAATGGGATGACTCTTACTACTGACAATTTATCTTATACCGAAGAGAACTTTCCGTCTGTGTGTGGTAGCAGAAATCAGGATCCTGTTAGTGGCATTAAGGCTTCAGTGGAAGACTTGCTTGGAGAGCTTGATGCTTATTCTCTGCATTCAAAATTTGCTACCTTGGAGAGTGCAAATGGTCATGGAACATATACTTCAGCTCCAGCTTGCACTAAGGAAAATTCACATGGCTCGACTCAGAATATTAACACTTCAAATGGAAAACAAGAAATTTCAACAAGTCCTCTTGTCAACAATTCTTCTAGGAATAAATGCCAAGGAATGTCAAGTTCTGGTCATCTAAAGCAGAATTATGATTTACCACTGCCTTATGGTTTGTCGCCCAGATCATGTTATGGTCGTGTTCAAGAATGCAGGCTTGGTATTTCAAGTACCGTTGGTGCTAGTCTAGGCTTTGAGAGTGGAAACAGTTTCTTTAATCACAGTTTCAACATCGGAAATTTGCGGAACCAAGGGGTTGTGATTGGCTCCAGTCCTTTTCATTTATCTAATGAGAAATCTTCAGACTTCCTTCCACTGGCTGCCTCACGGAATGATCTGTTTGATGTGTTGGGTCTTCATGGCAGTTTGGATGGAGGCTTGACTAGTGACCAGCAATTGGCTGTTGATGTCACTTCCTGCAATACTCAATTAAACCACCCCCCTGTATTTTACTCGGTCAATAATGATATATCTTGCACTGATATATTTTCAGAATCCAATACAGACCAGCTGTTGGATGCTGTTGTTTCTAAGATCAATCCAGGTGCCAGACAACGCTTAGATGAGAATATAACTTGCAAGACATCAACGACAAAAGTTAGTAGTTCATCAATTTTTTGTGGTTCTCCTAGTAATGATGGGTCTGCTTCATCAGGTAAAAAACATGGAGAGTATGTTTCTCCTTCAAGGCTGACGAGTAATGCAGAAACAGCAGCTTCAACTTCCGTGAGGTCGGCTGATAGTAATGAAACTGAAAGGTCAGGGTGTTATAAATCCCAAATTTGCTTATGGGCTGAAAGTGGGAAAAACATGAAAAGTGATAAATTGTTTGATTCACATATTGAAAGGGTTGATGAAACAAGCAAGGTTAATCGGAAGAGGCCACGACCTGGAGAGGCCCCAAGACCAAGGCCAAAAGATCGCCAGTTAATAATGGACCGGGTCAAGGAATTACGTGAAATTGTGCCTAACGGGGCTAAGGTAATTTTTTTGGTTTACAAAAAACTTGACTTTGTGTTGTTCCAATATCTAAATATAATTTTTTTATATGCATAATTTTGATTTAATGATGGGATTCCCTATTTTTAATAACACGTGTGCAGTGTAGCATCGATGCTTTATTGGAAAAGACCATAAAGCACATGCTCTTCCTCCAAAGTGTTGCTAAGCATGCAGACAAGCTGAGATATTCTGGAGAACCCAAGGTATGTGTTATCGCCTGTTAGTTCTACATTTTTTTTTTCTTTTTCTGTTAGTTCTAAATTCTTGGAATGAACTGAGTAACACGACAGAGAGCATCATGGCCCGCCATCCATTCTTTCTAATTAATTTAGCATATGTATTTTTATCAATTGAGAGATTATATGTCACACTTTCTAGTGTTATTGAGAAGTTGATAAAATCTATTAAGAGTTCAGGTTTCTAGAAAATTGGCTTGTTGGGGATGGAAGTAAAGGACCGCAACGAAAGAAACATGAAAAATAGAAAATTAGCAGAAATTAAAAGACATCGGGATTCAACTTGGAAAAACTCAAAATCGAAAAAAAAAACACGAAGCCACACCACACCAAGAAATCTACTATGAAAATTAGGAGAAGTACATCTCTCTCTCTCTCTCTCTCTCTCCTTGCTTCTCTTCTCTCTTCAATTTGTTCTCACATTCTAAACACAAGAGAAAGTCAAATTAATAACACTAAGGTACGCCGCCTTTAAGAAAAACTAGAAAGAAAAGTGTGGCGCCAGTTTGGAGCGTTGTGGCATTCAAACCTCTGATCTCGATCCGTTTGGCGATGCTGCGAAGCTCAAACCCGTAGCGCTGTGGCACCGAATTTAGAGCATCGTGGTGTTATGATATGTCATTTCTCCTAGCAAACTTTGTAGCTCAGTGAGCTTCGGAACACAGCGCTAGGGCACTCAGGTACATAGCGCCATGGGTACATAGCGCCATGGGTGTTGTAAGAAAAAAAAAATTCGGGTGCAAACCACACTAACCAACGTAGGGGGAGTAGAGGAATCCCCCGGTAGCTAGCACGACACATTAAATTGAGGTTCGAGGTAACAATATAACCCAATCGATCATCACAGTTAGATTCCACACATAACTAACATGGCTAGTAGGGCATTTGCTTAATAATCAAGACTTTTTTTTAACTCGTTGAATTGCTACTGCCATGTTTTTTTATCTCTTCACATGTTCCAAGTATTCCCTCTTTTTTGTCATAATTTTAGCTTAGACTGTTATTATGGTTTTTTTATTGCATGTAGATATCCCTTTAACTACAATGCTGTTTGTGTGCGCTATGTCATCATGTTCCCTTTATAGAATACTAATTCTAATGAGTTTGAGTTGAATGCATTGGTTTAATGAATACCACAACCTGGTCCAGAAGTTGGTGTGTTGTGCGGCGAGGTGTTTAGAGAAAATCAGAGAGATTTCTAGGTCATGGCAAGGATACCATCTTAAATGGAATAAACTTAACCTGACCGAATCTTTGTTCTATTGTTTTCACGAGACAAGTATATGTATGTCTAGATATATAAGGTGAGAGAGAAGGGATCAATAAAAGAAAATATAATAAATACAAATATTCTTAATAGTGAGAAAATGTAATCGTGTGAATTTCTATTAAAACTAATTAGCACATATGATAATTTAAATATATAATATTTGTGTTAAGCAGATTATTAGTAAGGATGGAGGTGTTCTCTTAAAAGATAATTTTCAAGGCGGCGCAACTTGGGCATTTGAAGTTGGTTCGCAACCCATGACATGCCCGATCATAGTCGAGGATCTTAATCCACCTCGTGAAATGCTTGTGGAGGTAAAAAAATTTTCTTATCCATGCAAAATATTATGATAAGCATTTATCCAGAAATACGCTAAATTCTAATGATTTATAGGATAAGATTAGCAGCAGCAGATGGTCTCATATATATTACTTGCTTTTTAGATGCTTTGTGAGGAGCGAGGCGTCTTCTTGGAAATAGCTGATTTGATAAGAGGATTGGGTTTGACCATCTTGAAGGGAGTAATGGAAGCTCGAAAAAACAAAATTTGGGCACGCTTTGCAGTGGAGGTAATATCGGCCTTTTCAATTTTATGGGACAAAAGCTTTTAATAATGCTAATTCTCTCTGGAACAGGCAAACAGGGATGTGACAAGAATGGAGATTTTTCTTTCACTTGTTCGCTCGCTGGAACCAACTATTGGCAGTGGCGCTGGTCAGTCTATTCATAACAACAACATGCCGAATAAAATATTCAACCCATCTTGTGTTCCTGTTACTGGCATATCTGATCCTTTTCGATGAGCGCGGCTTGGTTTAGGCTTTGTTTGGGACAGCGTTCTTCCTGCTTCTTGAAGCTATATTTTAGTAGAAAAATTAAAATTTTTATACTAAAATACTGCTTTAAGAAGCAGTAAGAAAGTCATCCCACACGAAGCCTTAATCCTATCTCTTCTTCCAGCTCAGGGAGTGCTGAGAGCAGGCTTGGCAGTTGGCATTGCCTGCTATGACTAGCATTCCAGTGGTTATCCCGGATGTTAGCTTTGTAGTTGTGTAGGTTTGTTAATGCTTCTAGTGCCTTGTTTTATTGTGTTTTTTTTTTTGCCTTTTTTTTAGTCTCATTTGATTTACATTTTCTTATAATTTCCTTTGCTTGTAATATGTATGATGTATTATTAAGAGGAGAGGTGGTGGCCGGTTGAAAAAATGTGGATGTGAAACCTGCCCAAGTGTGCAGGTCATGTTTTGCTGTTTCTAATACTTTTGTGTTTTATTGTCATTTTTTTGTTAGGATGTTGTTGCCTAATAGAATTTAAAGTAGTTTCTAGGGTAAATAGAAATTTGTCTATTGTCTTAAATAAAAGTCTTTAAATTTTATTTTAAATACTATTATTCGAAGAGTATGGTTTTTAAATATAACTTCCTCAAGTTTTAATAAATACATGTAATAAAAGAGCTAGTCGGGAGTCATCTGGTGGAACTTTTATTTTATCCAGTGAACGTAAGCTCCTCTACGTTCGGATTTAGGCAAAAAAAGCGCAATACCGAGTACCGAGTTTTTTAAAAAAACTCGGTATTGTACTGTTTTGGTCTAAAATCGAACGTAGAAGAGCGTACGTTCACTGGATGTAATAAAAGTTTCATCTGGTGATGTGTATATATGTATATATAAAGAGGGAATCTTTTTTGTATTTATAGCCTCTCTTCATTCAGCTTTTTGGTTTGTGTGGAGCTTGATGGTATCAAGCTGTTTATTGAGGTGGTATTTTTGTGCCTTGTTTCCTTGTATATTTATATGAATTTCTTGATGTGAGATTAGTTCTTCTCTGTTTTTTTATTTTTTATTTTTTATAATTATTTTTCTATAATTTGGCATTTGGCCTTATTTTCATTTTTATTATTTTAAATTTAAAATAATCTATAATTTGGCATTAATTTGTGGCATTTGGCCTTAGTTTTTAATATTTGTTTATTGCGTAAGTTTTGCTTGAACAAGTTGTCTAAACAATTGGTTTTAGAGTTGATTTTTCTGATGATTTTGGCTTTGTTTGAGATAATGATTTTGTTGCTATTTAAAATGTTTTTTTAGTATAAAACTTGCTTGAATTAGATTTTTTTTAAGTGATAAAAAATAGTTTAAAATAAAAACCTTAAAAGTATTGAGTTTGCGTAATGTGCTTGCTTAAATTATCTTTCATTTAAGAGATCCGGAATTTATGCTAGAGATTGAGAGTAGAAGTAACAGAAAAAAAAAAAATCACTAGGTAAGCGATTGGGAGCTTAGGTTCTAATAAGGAGATTGTATTCAGGAGTGTATTTGTGATAAAATTATTTGAAGTTGTAAAAAATTCATCTTTGATGGAGAAAATTTGATAGATATTTTGGAGGAAATAATTGCGGTGGGCTTCGGCTTTAGAAGTTTTTGTGCATTTTCAGCTGTATTGAATATATTTCTTATAATGATAAGATAATTAAAATACTTTAACGATATTAATTCTGCTTTTAAGAATTTTAAAAAAATACCCATGATATTGGCTAAACTGTTTCAGTAAGGATTGTATTTTGTTTTATCCGAACATTTGTTAGTATGATAAATCTCATTAACGGGATTTCTTAAGAAAATTCTGGCTTGGATGATAAGCCTAAGAAAATTCTTGATTAAGGGTGTTCCTTAATGTTCTTTTGGGTTTGGTCCAACAAATTTGTTAAGTACACTTTCCTATTCAATAATACACAGGCACAAGTGGCTGACCATCATGCAAGGTGAGTACAACTAAGCACATGTGTATATAAGTTTGTTGCTAAAAATAGTATACTTGTAGAGCAAGCATACATCTTGTATAACAACTAAACAATTAGAGTTGGTGATGACAAGGATATGTCAATTTTATGATTCATAAAGAGCGAAGAATATCAAATAATAAGAATTATAGTATTGTAAAAGAGAGCACACAAGTACGCAAATTAGAAAAATAAAAAGTAGACATGCATAGTAAGAAAATATCATTCATTACAGTGAAATAATGGAGGAAAATTATCGAAGATGATGAATGTGTGGGTCTTATAATCTAGAAATATTGAAGATAGCATAGCAAAAAATCATAAAGATGCAACTGGCCTTAAATACAGATCTAAGTTATTGGCTAAGCATATCATTGAAGTACGAACATTACTATGCATTATTTAATAGAAGTCTAATGTTGACACCACAGTGAGACTTCTAATTCAAAATCTTTTTAAAGTACTAAAGAAGGAGCCACACTGAAGCAATGATAGCTTGATCATGAATGGATATGATGTATCAAACATTGATTTTGAGTTATTTAATTAGACCTCAATAAGGTACAAGAAAAATATACTTTGCAAGCTCACTTGTTTATTCATATATTTGTGTTAATATGAGGTTCTCATTGGCTCTAGTAAAACATCTTCAATGGACAAGGCAAATTAATCAAATATTGATTGAGCATATTTGGTCGATAGGGGGGCCTTAATATTGTTTTTTTTTTTTTTTAAAGGGTCTCTTAGAGAGAAGTCATGCATTTGATTGAAAGAAAGCTAATTTTCTTAAGATTTCTTTTAAATTAATTAATTATTTGGGTAAACAATTTAATATATAAGAGCCTAATAATTGTATATCCAAGCCCAATCACAAAGTAAAATATAAATAAACAAAACCTAAGCATTCTAAAGCATAATATTTACTTATTTAGATGATATATATACACACACAAATAATAATATCCTAAAATGTAGTTGGATCATGAAATAAACCTCAAGAAAAAGTAAAATATTGTTAAATTAGCTCTATTATAAATACAACACAATTCAACTAATTATATATAGAGAATGTCATATAGGGTCTTGAAGGATTCTATTAATATCATGATATGATTTCATGCATTGTGAATCAACCCATAAGAATATAGTGCTTTGACTAAAAGTATATATGTAAATAAAAAAAGTATAAAGTGCTTTCTTAGACTAAAAGTATATATGTAGAGCAAAGAAGTATAAAGATGCCCTATAAAGCAAAGTTTTAGCATAGGTAAAACATATCATTTTATTCTTTTTAGCAGTGCAAAGTTAGCAAGCAAGTGTAATGCCTCGAATAATATTTCTATCAAAATCTACAAAAATAATACAAGCTAATACATCAATCTATGAGCTATTGAAAGAAAAAACAATCATAACTTCAGCCTAATCCTAGGATGTTTAAGGATATGTCTATTGCAATATCCATTGTGTTAAATTAGTGTAGTAATCTAATTTAGTGTATGATATTCAATTTATAAATATAATTAAGGGACATTTGATTTTATTGACTAAGAATAGTCTTATTTAAAGCTAAAATTCTTTGATCATAAGGATGACTAAAGAGGAGAGGCCATCTTAAAATTCTAGCTTCTTTTCATGTTTAGTTGTTAAAATAAAATTTGAAAGTTTCCTTAAGTGACACTTATACAGGCAAGATAATATGACATGAACATTATAAATTAAAATGATTCACTAATATACAATAATGGGTTAGTTAAGCTCACAATTTCATAAAAAAGAGGCAATATGAACCATTCAATTAAAGACAAAATGATCTAAATTTTATATATAATAAAGGGGACTTTGACCTAAGGCCAAATAATCATGTATTTTTCATTATGAGGACTACTCTAACCTATAAGATAGAATAGAATGCATAAATGGGTAATCTTACACTTAAGTTAATGATAAGATTACACACAATATGTGTATCAATTGATATACTACAAGATAAGCTATAATATAAAAGTGATATACCTCAATTGGTGGTGTAATTGATTGGATTGAAACTAATAGTGGCATTATTATAGTATGCTATAATATAAAGGCTCATTGTGTTTAAGTATTAAACTTGATGGTTTAAACTTATCAAGTGTAAGATGATAAATCTTCAAAATGTGTCAGCAAGTCAATAAGCTATTGGCACACAAAGTGTTCTTAACGAGTAGAACTAGCATGTGATGCCAGATAACTTCTTTGTGGGGAAGGATATGTGACAAGTAAAACTTGGTTACAACATGGACTCTTAGCTATAAATTTAATAAAATACAAGTCATTGGTCTATGTCTGACATGTGAAAAATCATCACCTTGGGTGAATTGAAGAATCTACCTTGTGGAAGAAAATAGGTTTCGATATGAAGGCTATTTTCTATAGCCAACAAGTGTTCCAATGTGTTTTCATCTAAAGGAAAATTTGAATCACTTCAATTAATGTGTATCCATGTATTTCAAAGATCTTTGCGCAATCCACTCTTATTATTATTTTAGCCTATCTTAGAACTTCTCAAGGCTATAAGTTTCTTCTCATCCTTTTAACATTTGAACAGTGAACTAAAAACAACTCTCATTCTAGGAAAGGGTAAGTTTTCATTGTTTACATGACTAAGGCCTTATGGCATATTAGCTAAATACTCATTATAATTTTATAATCTTTAATTTGATTCTTATGAATAAGAAAAATAATGGGGTATGCATTTTTACAATATTTTTTATGCACATAAACATTTGCATACACATAAACACACATACATGTATTTACATTTTTTAGATATGTTAGGGCCTACATTATACATTTTAGGAACGACTTTACTTTCCTCATTTTTTTGATAGAAACTCACAAAGAGGCTTACATGTTAAATATAACAAAAATGGTTACACGTCTATAAAGGAAACAAATGCTAACTTTACTTTCCTCCTTATTATATTTAGCCAACTTTAATACTTCTATATATAACATTAATTAGATGTTTATTATTTTTTTATGCTAAGTTTATTTAATGTTGGCTATATTAAATAATATATAATTCATAAACCTATGGTCTAAAGTCAAATTGATTTTAAAGGAAATCCCCTTGATCACTTGGTTACATAATTTAATATTAAATTCATACAGTTAAACAATATTGCTTTGAGTCCTAGAAGATTTATGAAGCTACTAAAGACGATGTAAAACCCAAAGTTTTTAAATTAATTTATTTGAAGACATAAAAAATAAAAATATATGAAATTTCTGAACTGCAGTGTTATAGCGCTGTGATTTCGAGTGCAAGCATTGGGGCACAAAAATTCGACGTGGTGGCGCTGATGCTCTCTGTTCTAAAATAACTATGAAATGAGCATGCAACGCTGTAGCGGTGTGTTAGAGTGTTGTGATGCTAGGCACAAAAAAATTTTTTTTTAATATATATTTTCTCTCCACTTAGTCTTTTTTTCCTCTCTCTCTCTCATTTGGCTTGCTGAGTATGGAA